TAAATTGAAATTGATATTATATTACTTCTAAATAATTTGATTGGAACAAATATTTATATATATAAATGTATATTACAAATTATTTATTTTTTAAATTAATTGATTGATAAATAAAAACAAAAATTTAAAAAGTTTATTAATAAATGATAATTAAAATTTTCATAACTATTTTCTTTTATCTCATATTTATTTTATAATATACAATAAAGTTTTTAATCTATTTGACAGATCGTTATCTCATATCATTATCTCAGAAAAAAATTTAGATACATTATTCTATTTCTAATTACCTATAATTTATGATTTGTGATATGATGTGATTTATATTATCTAATATAATTTTATATTCCATATTAATACGTTAAAAATATAAGTAATGAAAAAAATATATATTCTATTAAAATTCATTTGTCATAATCATTGATTAAAGATTTTATTAATAAAATCTTAACTATATTATTCATTGAAATACTTTTATTGCATACAAATTTTTTACTAATAATAAAAAATTTTATATATACAACATATATAACTTTTATAAATACAAGCTAACATTTATATTATGTATATAATTTATTAAATTATTTAATTATTTATAATGATAAATACAATAAAACTAATTTTGCAATTGATTTTTTTCTTGGTCAATAATAAAAATATTTATATATTATTTTATTTATGTATACACATAGAAAATTTTTACTAATTGTAAAATCGTAGTTAAATGTAGTTATATATGACTATATATAACTTATAGTGATATATAATTTTTAGAAGCATATATTCAAAAAATATATAATTTTTTTAATAGATTAAAGTTTTGCGCATATATTGAATTGCTATAGTAAAATATAATATAGTAAAACATTTAAATTAAATACAACATACAAAATAAATATAATATATTTTAAAAATAAGTCTTAGCTTTCTTATATTTTTCTGATAACTAATATTTACGTCATTCATTTTTTTATCAAGATACTTCAATATTATATATATATATATATATATACATACTTCAATATTTGTACGGAAAGATATGATAACATGAGAAAATTTTAAGTTATATTATAATATTTAATAAATAATAATAATTTTAAATTATTATTAATGCAAATATCGTAAAGATGTCTATTTATGCATAATATACATGCAAATTATACATAATATATGTATGTATGAAAAATATGAATTCAACATACAAAAGAATAAATTTAAGATACAAAAGTAAGTCCAAAATATAGAATAAATTTTTTTTATTTAAATTCTTGTTATTATCGAGTACATAAATTAAATATAAAAACTTGCCAAATACAAAAACAAAATTTATTAATTTTTGATTGAATATAATTAAATATTTAATTGCTTATAAGAAATTATTTTACATACAAAAATAAATAAAAAATATAATAAAATGAAATTTTTTTTCAATTTTCATTTTCGAACAAATTGATTTCATATATGTAGTTATATAAATTAGTCAAGTATATATTAATTTTAAATTAATGAATCGAATAAAAGAATTTTATTTTATCTCCTTTTGATTAAAGATTTGTAACAAATTGGAAATTAGCCAAATTCGTACTCAATTTCAAAATTTAATTTTCTGAAAAAAAAGATTACTAATAAACAAATATTATTCGTTTTTTTACTTATTTTTTTTAATTCTGTCTTATTTTTCGCATAAAATATAACATAAAAACTAACAACATTTTTTTTTCTTTTCTAACGTTTATTCTATAAAATTATATTTGATACAATGTTATAACATTTAATCTTTTTTGAAGATTTGAAAATATCTGATTTTATATTCATTTATAAACAATGAGAACTTATTTATTTAAAAAATTATAAAAAAAATTTTACTTTCTGATTCTTTCTAAATTCTTTTAATTATCTTTGTCATGTATAATTTAAAATAAAAATATTTGTAAATATAAATTTGTAAAATGAAAATTATTTACATTGAAATTTAATTATAAGAGAACAGACAAAATACATATAAAACGCAATAATAAAAAAATACATAAAAAGAAAGTCTCTTGCTTGCAAAGCAGGTGCACTCTGTCATTTTGTTCTCTTGATTAAGTGTTGTTGTACTTTTTCTCTCAGTTTTAAAAATGTAATTGATCTTTTCACTGATAAAGTGTTTATAAAGAAACTTTCATAATAATCATAGCATTACTTAGTTTAAGAAAAAAACTTAGAATAAATTGTTAAATAAAAAATATGAATATTTGAAATATATATTGAATATATAATATTAAGAAATAAAACTGTTGATCGTAGTAACTGTTTAACTTTTATTTCGTTTTGTTACAGTTGTAAAATGTAGAGAGAATAACATGAAAATAGTAACATAGGCATTGCGAGAAAATGTGAAGACAAAATAAAATATTAGTCAATAGCAATACATAATCGAAATATTTTAAAAACTTAAACTTAATAACGCAAAATAAACATTATAATATATATTTTACATCAATTAAATATATATATATATATATATAATATAATTATATAATAATATAATATATATAATTAATATATAATTTGGTATATCTAAATTTTTCATATTGTATGCAATATAAAAAGAAACTTTTTATAATTTTGATACAATTATACAATTTTATTTTT